TCTACTCTGACACTATAAGGTTACCTCTAGCTGCAGTGAACTTGCCAACTGGTGGGGTGTGCATGTCTGAATGCCTATTAAAAAAGACCTTCAAAAGTTAATCCAAAAAAAAAAAAAGTTAATCCAATTTGCCATAAACTCCTCAAGTGGCCCCTGACAGCACCGGGGGGATAGGCGTTGGGCTGCTAATCACAAAGTCATCAGTTTCAACCCACCAGGCGCTGCTTGGGAGAAGAGACTGACGAGAGTCACTATGTGCCAGAGCATTGACGGTTTATTCAGGTGATCTACTTGGGTAGGCATATAGATTTCAAAATAACCTAGCTGTAAATCAATGTGAGTTAATTCCTAAAGATCTAGACATTTCTAATAAAATTATAAAAGCATTTAATCTTTCTACTGGCATATTAATGATTTCTCCTTTGAAAAAATGCAAATATTAACCTAAGAATTTGGCAAACGAGCTACAATGGAAAATGCTTTACAAACTGGAGTCTGGGAAAAACTCAAGAAGTCCAATATATACACAGAGGTAGTTATTAAAGGTATGAGAAAGAGATACTGTATATTCTCTAGGATAAGCTGACCCGAATATCAGCCGAGGCACCTAATTTTACCACAAAAACTGCATAAAAAATGTGCTGAAAACTTGGCTTACACACTAGTTATGGTAGTCAAGCTTGACTATCAAGAAGCAGAGAACTGGCTGAGGTCACAGCTCAGAGCAAGCCTCCCAGAAGCAAACGCGACTCTGCCCACTGAGACTTAAGGAAGGGATGAAATGGCCTGCAGGAAATTAAGCATAGATCCAATAAAGTGCCACCTGACACACGAGAAGATGCTCAGTGTCATTAGCCATCAATACCACATTGCGATTCCATTTCACTTCCACTAGGCTGGCCATGGTCAAAACAAAACAAAACAAACACATACACACAGGTCAGAAAAATGACACCTGGTGGTGAGGATGCAGGGAAATTGAAATCTTTATCCATTGCTGGTGGAAAGACAAAATGATACAGCTTTTGTGCAAGGAAAAGTGTGGTGGTTTCTCCCGGAAAGTAGAATTACTATATGACCTAGCAATGTATCTTCTAGGTATATCCCCCCAAACACTTGGAAGCAGAGATTCACACACACTTGTAAATCAGTGTTTGTTGCAAATACTGTTATTCACAATAGTCAAAAGATGGAAATGACTTAAATGTCCATCAACAGGTGAATGGACACACAAAATGTGGCACATACATACAATGGAACACTACTCAGCTAGTAAGAGAAATGGAATCTTGAAATAAGTCGATCACCAAAGGACAAATATTGTACAACCTTATTTCTATAAAAAAGACCAAAAAAGCAATAAAGAGAACAAAGTTAATTAGCGGTTACCAGGGTTGGGGCTAACAGTGATAGATGTATTTCACTATTAAGGATAGAGGTGCACAGTCTATTACAATTATTCTAATTGTTGTCACAAGCTAATTGTTGAACTGGCAAAAGTTGTGTAACAGATTTACTGACTTAAAAAAATACTGCTGAGGCTGCTTATGTACAACCAAAAACCCATTAAGATTTGGTTTCTTGGTTTGGAGGTTTAGGGTCATGGTTTCATGGCATATCCCAGTTAATTGTCCTAATAACATGTTTAGTGCTTCTGTTCTACTTCCTAGTTCACTGCTTAGTGCCTGGGGTCTTAAAAGCTGGCAAGTGACCATCCAAGGCACAATAAGCAGTCTCTATGAGGAGCAACAGAGGCAAGAGAGTCAGAACAGGAGGAAAAGAAATGTGTGGCCAATTGCTTCCATGAACAGTTGCTTCCTTTGCCATAAGACCAAAAAAAACTGGGCAATGCCCGGCTACCATTACTGTGGTAGTTACATAATCTGATGTCAATCTGAGAATTCAGTGAAGGGGTAGTCTAGCCTGTTAATCAGGTCATAGCTTGATGACTTCGTTTGGAGGCACTAAGGAGATACATAGCTCGCTGGAGGTGGGACACATGCTCCTCTCTGGGAGACATTGCAGCTGACAAGACACATGGAGCTATGCTAGTATCCTGAGTTGGAGCCACGTGGAGACCCACACTGAGATGCTTACAACGCCACTGGATCCATAAGACTTCCCACCCAATGGCTTGTGATCTTCCTGCATTTGGCATCATTACATGTGTTTCATGAGTCTGAAGAGGACTTTATAGGTTGGTATCAGGCATATGGGCTAATATCGGATTTATGGACTTGATCTGGACTGGGATGTTTCCTTAATGTACAATTTTCTTTAAAACTCTGTCTTATACACATATGAGTGTATCTATGAATTTGTTTCTCTAGTCTACCTGGACTAACACAATTACTGATTACCGTATTTTGATCAGAGATTCCATGGAAGAATCTTGACCAAAAAGGGAAAATATACGAAAGAATTTCAAATTCCAATTGACTCCAGACTTCCTGGAGTCATGCAGATCGATGAACTCCTGAAACAGCTACCTGCAGACGTTCTTTAAACCTTACCATAGACAGTCTAATATTTTCACTCTTAGGAATTTATCTAGAGAAATTGGGGAAGGGGGGAAAGAAATACACATAAATTTTGTAAACAATGTTCATAGCAGTTTAATAGTCAAAAACTAGAAACAGTACAGTGTAGTATACCTACTCCTTACTTAATGACTATATGGCTATCTGTTTCACATTTATGACCAAACCAAGCTCACTGACATGGAGCTGATGCTGACTCTTGGCGACCCTCTAGGGCAGGGTAGAACTGTCCCTATGAGGTTCCAAGGCTATAAGTGTTTCTTAGTAGAAAGCCCTGTCTTTCTCCTCAGGAGCAGTTGGTGGTTTCAAACTGTTGACCGTGCAGATTAAAAGCCAACATATAACTTGCATTTATATCAATAGTACAAAAATCAATGATGTGATTATTTTTGCATTAACCTATATTCCCTTCTCAGGTCCAGCCCCCAGCAAGCTGAGCCACCCTGTCTGTCAGGCTCACAGCTGAAGCCCTTGCCAATTCCACCCCACCTGCTGAAGCTTCGGCTCTTCCTGCAAATAAGGAAATAGGCAGATTTTGTGGGAGTCTTTATTGAGTCGCTGGAGGGGCTCATTCGAAGCAGGGATAGGAGAAGTTGCTACTGCTGCTCCCTTTATCAAGAGCCCTAGAGGGGGCAAGTTCTACAGCAGGAAGGGCATAGGGATAATTCCTGGCTGAGGGGCTGCAGCAGAAGCCACTCTCTTCCTTCCTAGCAGCTGTTAGTCTGCAGGTTCCAAGGCTCAAATTCAAGCCCTCCATGACCAAGCCTTCGGAACCTGCTCATGCTGGTAAGTGGGTGTATGAAAACCGATATTGGTAAAATGGAAATGTTATGGTGGTTTGCCAGGTCTTTCTTCTGAGGCACCTCTAGGGGATTTAAACCATCAATTGTTTAGTCACCAGCTTCATCTTTAACCATTTCTTAAGCACTCCCTGTTTACAAACAAAAGAATCGAATAGTAAAATCCAGAGCCAACTGCTTTTAATTTTCCAACACACAAACTAATGCACAACATAGCAAATTAATTGTGGTCTCTTATTAATTAAAAAAATCTGATAATCTATCCCCCTCCACCTTCCAAAAATTAGTAGTTTGCTTTTGTCAGCCATAAAAGATGAAACTTACAAAATTTAAGAAAACAAAGAAACTTCACTATACAGATACAAGAATAGAAATTTTCCTTTTAATATAGCCTAATCAAAAAAAATAAAATAAATATAGTCTAATAAGAAAAATCTTCTAATTTCTTCAGAGGAATTCTAGATGATCCTTAAGTTTTGCAACTAAAGTGAGTCTATGCTATTATTGACTAAACTTAGAAAAGCTATTTAGCAAACTGATTAAAACCAACTTCATGTAAACAAACTACAAAGGAAAACAGGAGAAATACTGAATGTAAAATTAAGCCGAATCCCCCCCACCCCCACTTTAAAGTCAACTACATTAAAAGATCAGCCAACCTAACCTTCTGGAGCCAAGGAGGCTGAATAAGCCCCTGAAGTCTTCCTAGTGAGTTTATGTTCATGGGGGAGGAACAGCTAAGAAAAAGAGGGTAAGAATGGTTGCACAATTTGAGGACTATAATCACACAATCAATGTCATTGAATTGTACATGTAGAAATTGTAGGCTTGTTATCGTTTCTGCTGAATATATTAACAAGAAAAATAAATTTAGAAGTTTTTATTTTTAAGATCTAAGATATTTATTCATTAAAAACGTCACTCAAAACACACAGTACATTTAATAGGAGATAGTTTAAATATTTCTAGCCACATTTTTCCTATCTTCAACCTAAACTTCTAACATTAAAATCTTAACGCATTGGATGTTTTCCCAGAAGCCTCTCCTCCAAACAAAAGGAAAATGAATATTCCCAAGATGATGTTTTTCTCAAAATTAAATTTGCTCTATTAACAAAATTAGAAAGTCACCTGGAGATTTCTCCTAAATATGAGCTTTTGTTTTTTTAAAATCATTTTATTGGGGGCTCATACAATGCTTATCACAATCCATACATCCATCCATTGTATCAAGCACATTTGTACATCTGTTGCCCTCATCATTCTCAAAACATTTGCTTTCTAATTCTAAATATGAACTCTTAAGCTTACAAACTTTTCCCTTAATTTCGTCTTTAAAAAAAAATTCGTCTTTTTTTACAGCACTGCAATCACATACATTTTAGTAAACACACAGTCAGTAGTTTAAAAAGCTTTAAAAGTTTTTTTAACTATTACATGGAGAAAGCAGTTCATAGTGAACGTTTGACATAGGAAATTAGTAATGATGTGGTATTAAAAAAAGGTTGACAATGATTTTTTAAAATTGTAACAAATAAAAACTAATCTGATCATATGCCAAGGTGATGAGACCTCGAGTTGTTTTATTAAGACATACATCCGGAGACAATCGCAAACAAACAACCCACAGAATTTCAGATCCCAAAGAAGCATTTCCTACCTTGCCTGCTTCTCTTTCTAAGTCGACATACTCCCGGCTGGGTGTCTGCCGTTGTTCTCCCTGCCAGCTGGCCGGAAAAAACTGGAGAGACAGATTGGTTCCTGTGGCCACAAAAGCCTTTTAGAAAAATCAATACAAACAGGATCAGGAGCAGGACATTACATAAATTCTGCAGACAGTCATTTATTTTTACATCAGTTTATGTCTTAAGCCAGGCAGCACAGAGAATACTTAAAAGTAAAAAACATGCACTCATCATTTTTCTCCTAGTATTAAGTTACAAACATCTGATTTCATTTTGAGGGCATCAGCCATTGGCCGCTTACATATAAGATCAGACATGGAATCAATACTTTCTTTCAGGTCATTTTTGCTGACGTTAGGACCACGCATTGCCAACGGTCTCCCTAGAAGCATTTAAAAACTTGCATTTTAAAGTAGGAAAATCTCCGATTTAGAGACTGCATTTTCCAGCATCTGACAATTTGAAAGGGTATAAATGAGACCATTTAATTCTTGATCATCTGGCTCAAAGAAACCCCACCACCCTCTAGACTCCCTGCTAAAAAACGGCCCTTAGGGTACTCTCTACAGTGATAAACTAGACACGCCATGTGCCCACATCTTTCATCTCAAGCCGTGGGTAATTAATTAAATATGCACTTTCTAAAACTTGAGTTCCAGAGACCTGGCTCCAGCTCCAACCTGACTGAGCAGTGCTCATTTAGTATTTGTCACATTGGGATGACACAGCTCCACAAAACCAGCTACAAGTCATTTCAATGAAGTCTCATGCAGTGTAGCCCCTGAGCAATTTAACTGTATTTACTTCTCTGATGGTTTAAAAAATAGAAAATCGCCCTCCTGCCTGAGGGAAGTTGAGAAACAAGTTAAAATAAAAAAATTAAAAGGCTTTTGAAAATACATTTTTAATCATCTACATGTAAACTCTTCTTTGCCTACACCAGACAAAGTTCTCCTTTTTTACAAAGTAAAACTCTGGGGCATTTGTTTCAGGCAGAGCTTTCTTTTCTTTTCTTTTTTTTCTTATTGATTTTTCTCTGGGTTTTTAAAAAAATCATTTTATTAGGGGCTCATACAACTCATCACAACACCCACACACATCAATTGTGTACAGC